CGCGGAACTGGGGCGCTGGCCGTGGCAAGGGAGCCTCCGTCGATGGGGCGCCCACAGCTGCGGCGCCAGCCTGCTGAGCCACCGCTGGGTGCTCACCGCTGCGCACTGCTTTAGAGAGTGAGTCGGGGATGCGGAGGGGTAGCGGGCGGGGAGCTCGGCCCGAGGCCCTGGCCTGGGCACACATTCCTGCGTGGTGGTGTGCTGAGCCCTGAGTCCCTCTGCCCCTGGATACATAATTCCCCAGAGGGCAGATGACACCACAAGAGCAGGGGCGGGCTGGCCCCCAAAGCTCTCTGGAGCCGCAGAGGTGCCCTGAAGGACTGGGGCACTTTCTCTATCCTTAGAGAGCTGTGGAAGGTGAGGACTGTGAGGTGAGCCATCCTCTCCTCCTCCCTCAACGGTGCCCATGAGTGGAGACTTCGGTGTGGCCTCTCTGGCTCTGAGGACCCCATAGGCGTCCCTTTAGCCCACGAGAGGGACTTGGCAATGGTGTCCAAGGGGAGCAAGCAGTACGGCCCCCGCCCCCGCCAGGACACCCGGTGGGGGGTAGGTGAGCGCTGGTGCCTGTGGCCAGCCCTGCTCCCAGGACCCTGAGCTGCCTCTCCTTCCCGCCAGCGACCGAAATCCCAAAGAGTGGACCATCCAGTTTGGGGAGCTGACTTCAGTGCCATCCCTTTGGAACCTGGAAGCCTACCTAAATCGCTACCAAGTGGATAGGATCATTCTGAGCCCCAGCTTCGCGGGGGTGCCTCCTTATGACATCGCCCTGCTGAGGCTGGCCTCCCCCGTCACCTACAATAAGAACATCCAGCCTGTCTGCATCTCAGCCTCCATGTCCAAGTTGGAGAAGTTGACTGACTGCTGGGTGACCGGCTGGGGGGACGTTGAAGAGGAGAAGAGTGAGACGGGCATGGGGGTGGGCACTGTCCTGGTCGCCGCCCTAGCCACATCAGACCCAGCAGCCCTTCTTGGTCTCTGGGGCACTGCTCAGCCCCGCTGTGCTCTTCAGAGTCCCTCCCATCCTCTCCCCGTCTCTCACTCCTACCTGCGAGGGCAGGAACCAAACGCTCAGCTCCCTTCCCTTGCAGACCGGGTGGCCTAAAGCAGAAGTGCAGGGGCATCGAGTTTGGCCGGGGCAGCAGAGGAGGAGGTCTTGCGGAAGGGCCTTGGTGTCGCTTTATTCATGTATTTTCCCATTTCTGCAGCCCTTCCATCCATAAGTCCCTCTCTAGCTCCTTGGTACCAGCCCAGTTCTGGCTGCGTCGTCAAACTTCCCAAATCTGATGGCCCTGGTGTCCAGGCACTCTGGGAGGGTGAGGTAGGAGAATCACAAATGTGAGCCCAGCCTGGACAATTTAGGGATTTAGCAAGACCCTATTTCAAATTGGACTAGGATGTAGCTCGGTTGGAAGGCCCTGGGTTCAATCCCCAGTATCAGGAAAGGAAAAAAAAAAAATTACCGCCAACAAAAACCATCTTTCTCCTACCTTGGCTCAAAACTGAAACCCCAAAGTCCTCCAACAGCACAATCCAGCATCTGCCTGTCTCATGGCACAAGAATCCCCTGGAAGTGCTGGGCGCAGCTCTCACTGAGGTGCCCTGAGGCTTCTAGCTCCCCAGGTGGGGTACATTCTTTGTGCCTGGACCAGCCTGGCCTCCTCCTGTGTTGTCCCCTGACAGCAGCAGTTGTCACCACCGTGACTCTGCCTGTATACTGTTCACGGAGCCCTGTGCCAGGCTGGGAACCCCGGTGAGAGCAGAACACGAGCTCTGTTCCCACTAGAGCTTACCTATAAGTGAAGCTGGGAGGCTGAGGCAGGAAGATTGCCACAAGTTTGAGACCAGCCTGGGCTACATAGTGAATTCAAGGCCAACCTAAGCCTTGTCTCCAAAACAAAACAAAAACAACCTAGATGAAACTGGGAATGTTTTTATACTAATTTTGCCAGTAAGGATAAATGAGATCATCATGGAAGTTGCCCAAGGCCTCAGAACTATTAAATGGCAAGGCACTTACTTCATCTATGTCTCAATTTCCTTATCAGCAAATAGGATGGTAAAAGTGCTAACTTCACGGGGTGACCCTTGTCATTCTGCAGTCAGATGAGGGCCGCAGCCCCTGGCTCACCTCAGGCTCTGACACTCCCTTGATGCCATTTGAAAAGGGGGTTCTTCCTCCAACTCTTTCCTTACCTGGGAGTGGGCCCTGATGCCAACTCCTGCCAGAGGTGATCCGGAGCCCTGGGAGCATCTCGTACAGCTTTTGGCACAAGTCCTGAAAGTGCCCAGGTGTTACCAAAGAGAATGCATCCTACGGGCTGCCCCCTCACTCCAGTTGCTACCTGGGTGCCTTGGCAAAGCTGTGTTCATCATAAGCCATCTCAGTTGCCGTAGACCCTCCGCCTTGGCATATTTTGGCTATGGAATCTTACAGCTGGCTCAGGCAGGGGCTTCGTGTGTGTTCTGCAGCTGAGGTCACCGAGTCTCAAGGTAGAGTGCTAATAGCACGTCCACCCACTGGGTCCTTCTGTGACACTGATCACTCGTGGTGTCCTGTTTGGGGGGCCAGAGCTGGAAGCCATCAAGAGTGATTATCTCTGCCAGGAGTGGTGGTGCACACCTGTGATCTCAGAACTCTGGGAGGCTGAGGCAGAAACATCACCAGTTGGAGATCAGACTGGGTAACTTTTTGTTTGTTTGTTTGTTTGTTTGTTTTTGAGACGGTCTCACTATGTAGCCCGGGCTGGCCCTGAACATGCAGAGATCCTTCTGCCTCAGCTTCCTGGGTGCTGGGACTACAGGCATGGGCCACCACACCAGGCCAAGCTGGGTAACTTTGTTTCAAAATAAAGCATCAAAAGGGGCTGGGGATGGGGCTTAGTGCAAAGCCCCTGGATCCTGGATTCAATCCTTCAATTCCCAGTACAAAAAAAAAAGGAGGAGGAAGAAGAGGAAGAGGAAAGCGAAGATGAAGTAGCAGTAGTAGTATGATGTCCTAGGTGCCCCTAGGACCCTCCCACCCTACAGCATATCCTTCCCCAGAGAGGAGGATCAAGTTGCCTGTTTCTATCCACCCTCCAGATCTGCCGGCTCCCTATACTCTCCAGGAAGTGCAGGTCAGCATCATCAGCAAAGCCATGTGTAACCACCTGTACCAAAGATCAGACTTCGGTGTGGCCATCTGGGGGGACATGATCTGTGCTGGTGATCCTGCAGGTGGCAAGGACGCCTGCAATGTGAGTGACCCCAGCCCCGCTGCTCCCACCCCTAAACCTGACAGCATCCCTCTTTGATCTCTTGACATTGGGAGTGGGGAGACTCTGTCCCCCGCTTGACAGATGCAAAAATGGAGGCCCTGTCACTGCCAGAGGAGGGGAAAGCTCCACAGACCCCACCCCTCCAAGCCTCTCTGCTGGAACCCCCGACCCAGGCTGGGCTCACCCGTGCTCCTCCACAGGGGGACTCAGGAGGACCCTTGGTCTGCGACCTGGATGGGCTGTGGTATCAGATTGGAATCGTGAGCTGGGGAGTGGGGTGCGGTCACCCCAATAGGCCTGGAGTCTACACCAATGTCAGCCAGCACGCCCACTGGATCCAGAAGACCATGGCCCACGATGGCTCGCCCAGGCTAGAGCTCTCCCTGCTGCTGTTGCTCCTTACTCTGCCCTGGACTCCTCGGTGTGTGGGCCCCACCTGAGCCCACCTGACCTGGGGGCTAGAGCCATCTGCTGAGTTAGGCTGTGATCCTCTTCTGTCCTTTTGGTAATAAACATGTTGGAATTGACCTCAGCAGAGCAGCTTCCTGTCCACCTCAAGACCCTGTGCTTGCGAGGCAGGCAGCAGCACCACTGAGCTAAATCCCCAGCCCAACACCCACGTTTTAACAGGCATCTTGCAATATCTGCTGTGCCTGCCATTGTGCCAGTGACAGGACACACACGTGCGTCACTCGGCTCCCGGGCATCGTGACAACCTCCACAGCCCAGCAGAGCAACTGGGACTCGGGCTGGAGGACCTGCCTGAACCCCTAGGCCAAAGCCAAGAAAGTCCTCTCCTTCTCTGGGCTCTAGCGCCTGGCACCCTGTGCAGTAGAAGGGGTGGGTGGGCCAGAGCTGTAGCCCAGGGCCTGCCCCAGGCATCTTGGCCAAGCACAACCCACTCTGCCCTGCAGACACTCAGGTAACAAGCTGGGGCTCTGGGAGCCTGAGGTGGGTGAGGGTGCCTGGGGTGGGACAGATAAACTCATTCCAGCGGGTAAAGCAGCCCAGGAGGCTGGACCTCAGCAGGACAAACCGAGATCCCAGCTCCTCAAGCACAGAGCGGGCACCTTGACGTCCATCTCCTGGCCCCAGCAGGGGGCAGCCGTGGGCCTGGCACCGGGGATCACGGCCCCACAGAGGGTGTGCAGGCTCAGGGAGCCCTGGTCTCCTCCAATCTTTCCCTAGAGAATAACGTTGTTTTTCAGTGTTGGGGATCCAACCCAGAGCCTTAAAAACGCTAGGCAAAGGCTCTTCTACTACTGAGCTACATTTTATCAGTGCCAAGAGCATGATTTTATCAGTGGGACACGTCCTCATACCTCAGACCTAAGACTGCCAGCCTTGGATCCTATTTTATCTGATATGAAGTTTCCACATCGGCTTTATTCCTGTGTCCCAGTTTTACCAAAGCATTTTTAAAATAAAATAGAAAAATATTTAGAAAGAAATTACAAAAAAAAATATATTTGCCCATCCACAGTGGCATTTGCTGGAATATATTTTCTGGGATTTTTATGTTTTGGGTTTTTCTTTTTAGAATTTTTTCCTTTTTTTTTTTTCTGGTACTGGGAATCAAACTCAGTACTTTCTACCTGTGTATTATTACGAATGGAGGGATTATGAACATTGGTTACTATCTTCAGTGCACGCACCTCTTTCCAGTGATGTAAGATTATGATTGGAAGAGTAATTACTGGATCATATAGAAACTCCGTGTTTACCTTTTTGTGAAACCAGCAGAGTTACATAGTAGGTGTATCAGTTTACATCCTCATCAACAATGAGGATTATGTTCTCCATATTTTTGTCAACGTGTTATTTTCCAGTTTTGTTATTTCATTTCTCTCTCTCTCTCTCTCGGTACCAGAGATCTAACTTGGGACCTTGCTCTTGCAAGGAAAGCACTGGCACCACTGAGCTAAGTCCCCAGCCCAAAATGGGAAGGATTTCTACTATTTTGACAGGTGGATAGATTTAGAATGCAAATAAGTTGATTTTTAGTTTAGTGTAGTTTTGGTTTTTTGTGTGGGGTGTTTTTTTTGTTTTTTTTTTTTTGGTACTGGGGATCGAACTCAGGTCCTTGCGCTTACAAGGCAGGTGGCGGAACCACTGAGCTAAATCCCCGGCCTTCTCATTCATTTTTTGAAGAACACCTTTTATGATATGAAATTATTTGTTCATTGGCTTGAAATGTGCTTTTTTGAGCTGGGAGTTGGGGTACGTGCCTGTAATACTAGAACTCAGGAAGCTGAGGCAGGAGGATTTGTTGGGAGGGAGTTTGAGGCCACCTTGGGCTACACAGTGAGTTCAAGGCCCAGCCTGAACTACATAGCAAAACCCTGTACAAAATAAATTAAAAGAATTTTTGCTGCCATCCGGCTTCTATGGGTTTTGTTTTGTTTGCAGTCCTGAGATTTGAACCCAGGGCCTTTTCACTGGGCTACATCCCTAGCTTTTTTTCCTCTTTTTTATTTTCACAAAGGATCTGACTGTGTCCCCCTGGCTGAGATCAAATTTGTGATTCTTCTGCCTCAGCCTCCTACAGCGTTGACAAGTCTGCATCATCATACCCAGATACTTCCATAGCTTTTTGAAACAAAACAAAACAAAATCAGACGATGATCTTGAAGATCTTTTGCACTGATGACTCACTTCTCTCCTACAGTCTACAAGTATCTGCCTGAGTCATTTGTTAGTCTGGTTCTAATGTGTCTCTGTGTGGCTCTCTGTGTTTGTCCTGCTTGGAGTTTCCTCTTCAGCTTTTACCAAATTTGCAAATATTGTCCTAGATCTTGCAGCCGAAATTCTCTCAAATTCATTAGCTCCTCCCCATCTGGGGTTTGGGCAGGGAATCCCCCCACCAACATACTCAGGGGCCATGGCTTCCTTTGTACAAGCCAGAAAAGCCAAGCCTCGGGGCTGCAACACCATGCATTGTGTCCTCCTATGATTTTGTTGCTTTTCCCCTTCTTTATTTTATTGTTATATTTTATTTATTTAGTTAGTTAGTTAGTTTTTGGTTTTTTGAGACAGGGTCTCACTATGTAGTTGAGACTGACCTGGAACTCACTATGTAGCCCAGGCTGGTCTCAAACTCTCAGTGATCCTCCTGCTTCAGCCTCCCTAGAGCTGGGATTACAGGTGTGCACCACCATGCCCGGCTATTGTTATATTTTAGATATACATAATGATAACATTCATCGTGAGGAATCTGTTCCTGCATGTGTTGTATCTTGCTTGTTTTTTTTCCATTCCTCTCCCTTCCTTTCAACCCTTCTTCCTCTCCTTATTTACAAACTTTGTTTCCATTTCCCCCTCCATTCTTTTTTATCACGTCTCTTCCTTCCTTTGCCCGTCCACCCTCCTGTGATCTTGTTCTCATTTGACTATTTTCTTCCCATTTTCCAATATCTGTTATACATTTTTGTGCTTATTTACACTTTTGTTTTCTCACACCAGAGAAACAATGTGGTATTTAAACATGTGTGTCCATTTTATTTCACTTATGAGTATGGTCTTGGAGTGCATCCAGTTACCTACAAATGTCTCAAGCTTAACCTTTTTGATATTCTTTTTTTTTTTTTTTTGTACCAGGATCGAACTCGGGTCCTTGTGCTTGCGAGGCAGGCAGCAGAATCAGTGAGCTAAATCCCCAGCCCGAGCTTATACTTTTTTATAGCAGAATAGTACATCTTCTTTATCCACTCCTTGCTTGATGGGTATTTCAGCTATTTCCAAGATTTAGCGATTACAAACTGTGCTGCTATAAACATGGGCGTGCATACGTTGCTGTGGTGTGATGCTTTTAATTCTTTCAGGAAGATACCAAGAAGGGGAGTAGCTGGGTGAAATGAAACCTCCAGTTTTAGTTTTTTGAGGAATCCCCACACTGATTTCCACAGTGGTTGGACCAATCTGCACTCCCACCAACAGTGGAGAAGGGTTCCTTTCTCCCCACAGCCCTTGCCAGCATTTGTTATTGGTTGATTTCTTGATATAACCCTTGTTTCTGGTTTTAGTGAGATGTATTCTCAGAGTTGTTTTAGGTTGCATCTTTCAAATGGCCAGTGATGTTGAACATTTTTTCATATATTTGCTTTTTCTACTTCTTCGCCTGAGAAATGTCTTTTCATTGTCTGTGGAACAGCTGACAAAAATTTTTTCCCACACTATGGGTTGTCTCTTCGCTTGCTTGGTGGTTTCTCTTGCTGTCCAAAATTTTTATTAAGATGAGATCCTATAAAGGTACAAGATCCCAATGATGAATGTAACTGTACTGTATACTTAAAAAATAGCAATAAACTCAATAAGATAAAAAAAGATGAGATCCCAGTTGTCATTTCTTTGTGATATTTCCTATGCAATTGGGGTTTTGTTCATAAAGTCTTTGCCTACACCTGTGTCTTCAAGAATTCTACCTATGCTAGCTGATTTAGTGTTTTTGTTTAAATATTTAATTTTTTTTGAGACAGGATTTCACTACGTAGTTGAGACTGCCCTGGAACTCACTGTGTAGCCCAGGATGGTCTCAAACTCACAGCGATCCTCCTGCCTCAGCCTCCTGAGTGCTAGGATTACAGGCGTCCGCCACCATGCCTGGCCAAATATTTAAATCTTTAATCCATTTTGATTTTTGTTAAGTGAAAGATATGGGCCTAGTTTTAACCTTCAGCTTGTAGAAAGCCAGTTTTTACAGCACCATTTATTAAAGACACTGTCTTTCTTCCAGTAAAGTTGGTTGACTCCTTTGTCAAAGATAAGCTGTCTGAGTGTTTGGAGTTGTTTCTGCATCTTCTAATCTGTTCCATTGATCCTTGGGTCTGTTCTTTTGGCAGTACCATGCTGTTTTGTTGTTGTTGTTGTTGTTGTTGTTTTTAATCACTGTAGCTTTGTAGTATAATTTCAAGTCAGGGATTGTGATGCCCTCTTCCTTGCCTTTGTTGCCTGGCATTGCTCTGCTATTTTAGGTCTCTTCTGGTTCCAAATGAATTTTAGGATTGTTTTCTCTAATTCTGTGAGATATAGTATTGGTATTTGAATTGAGATTGCATTAAATCTGTATAAAATTTTTGGAAGTATGGCCATTTTTACCATATTGCTTCTTCCTATTCAAGAATAAGGGGTATTTTTCAATTTTTTGTTCCCTTTTTGATCTTTTTCAGAGTACTGTAGTTTTCAGTGAAAAGGTTTTTTACTTCCTTCATTAGATTGATTCCTAGGGTTTTTTTCAATGCTATTGTGAAAGATATTGTTTTCCTAATTTCTCTCTGAACTTTAGGTTGTTTATTTGAGCTTGCCCTGTTTCTCCGATATGGGAATTCACAGCTATACATCTCCCTCATAGGACTGCTTTCATTGCATTCTGTAAGTTCCAGTGTGTTGTATTGGCATTATAATTTAGTTGAAGTTGTCTAATTTCTTCTTTAATTTCATCTGCCACCCATTGATTGTTGAGGAGGTTGTTTTTTAATTTCCATGTGTTTATGAAGGCTTTATGGTGTCTTTTGCCATTTATTTCCAATGCCATTGCACTATGGTCTGATAATATGCATGGGATAATTTCTTTTCCTTTGCATTTACTCCAGCATGTTCTATGAGCTAGTCTGTG